AATGATTTAATTACAAAAGCCCAAAGCAAGGTTCAACTCTCCAAAACATGTTAAAGTCAATCAAGCCCAGTCTGACTCTAAGGGCCCAATCCTCCTCTATTGAGCAAAGGTATAAAAGCCATCAATTGTCTCATTTATCATTCATTCACAATCAGCCTCAAGCAATTAATTCTCTTGCATAGCCTTTATTCTCAATACACTGAACTGACTTTAGCATCGAAGGGGCCTTTCTCGGCAACCACCCCCGAGGCTAGTTTACGTGTGTTTGCTGTGCAGGAAATCCTTGGCCAACCTTTACCTAACCAAGCTTCGGCTTCTCCCACCGAAAAGGGTCTGCCGAAGGTTCTATTGTTTTCATACCGAAACACAAAGTACTCCATAAAACATTATTGTTAATACTACATACAGAATGCTACGTACAAAGTAGGGTTGGAAGATCCATGATTCATTATTTTCACAAACATAGCTTGTCAATTATTTTCAGAGGTTCCCGTGCATCGGTCACGATGAGAGGGATAAACTCAGTTGTCAAGTATATTAATACTCCCTACTTAGTTCTTAAGAAATTAATCAGCTAACAATGAAAATTGAGGCGTAGCTAAAAGCCTAAAACACAACATAAACATTAGCATAGATAGTGATAAATTAGTACATTACAATATTTTTTCTTTCTCCTAAGCTCTGCACAAATCAAATTTTATTCTCTTTTCCAAGTTTCATGGATCATGACACTGAAAGCAAAGATTGTTACCGTAGGACTTAATGCATAAAAAGAAACCCCGTGCCCATGATTGCTAGCAGTCACAAAAAACAGAGTAGCCCCGATACCCAGTTCCTGCGCGCACAGGAAGAGTGCACGCGCGCAGGAACATGCTGCGCCCAGGCTGCGCTTGCAGGGTTCTCCCCTGCTGCCTGCGAAGTTCCTGCTTGATATTCTGCATGTGTGCTGCGAGTGTGCACCTTGGGCTGCGCACACAGCAACTCTCAAAGCCAAGCTCCAACTTCCTGCACGTTTTTCTGCGTGCTAGCTGTGAGCATGCCTACATGCTGCGCGCACGGGACAGCCTTCTCACTCATTTGAGTTCTCTCTTCATGCAAGTTAGCATAGTTATCCAACCATACTTTGATCTTTCTCCATACATTCCTGACACTCCAAGAGCCTCTTCTTCATCTCAATCTAGCTTTCTTCCCATTGTGGATCAGTGCCAATTGCTCTGTCTCGGCCACATACTTCTCATTTTTCTCAATTTCTAGGTCCTGCATCTCCTTAATCTTGGCCGTCTCCTCAGACCTGAATTGAAAGGGAAAAGAAAGCTGACAAGTGTATGCTAGTGATGCTACTACTACATATTTGAAATATGCATGTCAACACAAACTTGTAACAAGGCAAACTTTACAATAAAGATAGACAGACTCCAAACTTTTCTTACAAATTACAACATAATAACCAGGACAGTTAATTGAGGAAAGAACAACGTAATCATATTAACCTCAGTCTTTTGAGTGAAATAGACACATCTTGGATGGCATCACAGCTACAAGGTCCTTACACAAACAAACGAGAATAAAACCATTGTGTGCTTCGGAATATAGACCTCTACTTTGTTAATGCTGTCATGTAAATCATGCTTACCTTAGACCCTTAGTAATGAGAGTGTTGTAGACTTGCAGGCTAAAAGGCAGCAGAGAATTGAGATTGCTTTGCTCATGGCCAGGATTCTTGTGGTTTAGTCATGGTTATAAGCCTTTTAACCTCCGCCTATACCAGTTTTGGCTCAGACATGTCAGTCGGGTGTCAATAAGGCTATACACATCAAACAACAGAAGCAACAATTTACCAAAAAAACCAGTTTTGGCTCCTTTCCCCCTTTCAAAAAAAAGTACGAAAATAATATACCTGATTGATCAATACTCAGCAAAAACGAAGTCATCCTACACTTATCATGACGTGAGCATGAGACTAGTGATTTGCCTGCTGTTACGTGAAACTTGCATTTTTAACCTTAGCCATTTGGAGTCAGTTGCTATGTGTGCCTTCTCTAAGTTCAGAATTTATTTCCAGTCACAAGTTATACCTTTCATACTCTGTAATATCATCCACTATCAAGTTATCAATAATATTCCTAAAAATATCCACACAACAAAGAAAATTTTCAGCTTAGAGTATCAATAATATAAATGAACATATTAAATTTCAATTCAGGGGTTACATACAGCTTTCATCCATCTGCAGGAGAATTAAAATGATAGGGTAATGTGGTTAAAATCTCATCGTGACTTTGTGATTATACACTTCAAAGGACAGAAGAAAAGAGAGAATGTCAATTTTGAGGTTGAATGCCAACAAAGCCATTAAAGGTTGAAGGCATCAAAATATATATGATGAAAAGAGAACAATACAGTTGGTACAAAGAATATTAAAATCAAGATGATGCTTCTTATAATTTTTATTTTTTTTAAGTGATACAAATATACAACTACATATATACCTGTGGAACAATTCTTCACAAAATCCCATGGTTGTAACCATAGAAATCTTCTCATATTCATTTCAATTGATGAACTTTTGCAGCAACTCATCATCACGAAACATATGGTCGGTGAACAACGAGAATGTGTCAGCATCAGCTTCAAATCCCTTGTTAACCATGATATCTCGATAGTATAAGGCATTTGGAAAGTCAGTGTGTTGAATAAATCCTTTTATAACAGTATTATAGGTTATACTATCTGGTAAGCAGCTGTTTTCTTCCATTTTAGAGAGAAGTTGAATAGCTTCATTCATGAGCCCTTTCTTACAAAAGCCTTTGATCAATATATTGTATGTTCTAATATCAGGTTGCAGACCTTTTGTTACAAGATCTGAAAAGAACTTTGCTGCATCTTCAAGTTGTCCAGCCTCACACAAGTTGTCCATTAGGATATTGTAGATGACAACATCTGGCTTAACACCATTATCCTCCATTTCTTCAAGCAATTTCACTGCCTCATCAAGCAGCGCACTTTTGCAAAGACCGTCAAGCAAGGAGGCATAGGTGACAACATTTGGAGTTACTCCGGCAGCCAGCATTTCCTCGAACAGCTTACGCGCATGAGGGAGTCTATTGGCTTTGCACAGTCTATCGATAAGAGTGGTATAGGAAACAACATCAGGGGTTATTCCTTTCCGAAACATCTCATGGAATATGGTTAAGGCCTTGTCAACGTTTTTAGACTTGCAATATCCATTAATCATAGTATTAAAACTAACACGATCAGGCTCACAACCATTTTCAGCCATGAGATCAAGTAGGTTCTCTGCATCTTCCATCTGACCACGCAAACAATAACCATCAAGTAATGCATTATAAGTAACGATGTCTGGAGGCACACCTCTCTCAATCATGTGCTTTATAATGGACTGAGCTTGATCAACACAGCCATCTTTACAAAACATGTCAACCAGCATGCTGTAGGTCTGAAGATTAGGTGCTATGTTGCTCTCTATCATCTCAGCCAACACACGCTGACCCCAGAGCCGGAATTGTAGAGGCCTCGAACCAAGGAAGTATAAGTGACAACATTGGGTTTAATGCCCTCAGATTTCATGGAGGAGAACAGGTCTAGGGCCTCTTGTAACAACCTGTCCTTGCAAAGACTATCGATAATAGTGTTGTATATAACAATGCCAGGCTTAAAATGACATCCAGATTGCATTTTCTTAAGAAAAGCGAGAGCAGACGCATTGTCGCCAATCCTACAAAGGCCTTTGACAATAGTATTATACATAATTAAGTCGGGTTGGAAACCAAGCTTGACAATTTTATTCAACAAATGAGCAGCTTGGGGGAGCTTATTACAGTGGACATAGCCGTTAATTAAGGTATTAAAGATGACAGAATTAAGGGGATAACCAAGCTTAAGTCTTTTAGCAAGGAGAGAGAAGCCAAAATCAACTCTGCCCAAATGACAGTAGCAATAGGCAAGAATACCAACAGAATGCATATTGGGTTTAATACCATACAACTCAAGCTGCCTGAAGAGAGAGATAATGGTGGAATGTGGATTTAAGCGCTTCAATTTGACAATAGCAGTAAAAAGCTGATTAAAATAGACAACAGACGGAAGAGGGCGCAAATTAATCATTTGATTGTATAGGAAAAGGGGGGATTTAAGATCAGAAAACCCTAATTCGGATTGTTCAGTAACTGAACTTAGAAACAATTGACGATCTTGGGAAGAAGAGAAAAGTCGAAAATGGGAAAGAAAAGAAGGAGAAAGAGACTTACCGCCATTAGAAAAGAAAGCAGAAGCTTTAGAAGAAATCATCATCTTTGAGCTTCACGCAACCTTCGATCTCCTTCTCCCCTTTGTTGCTTTGAGCCTTAGACAGCGAAAATAGGAAATGTATCAGCCCCTTTGATTTTGTTGTACATGTATTTTTTCATAAACAGAAAATACAAGTTATCTCAGAAATGAACAAAATTAAAATTTGTTAATAAAATATGTCATTTTCATAATAATAATTAAATTTGGATGAGTTCTAATTTTTTTTTAAAAATAAATATTTTTGCTACATGTGATTGAGCACGTGACCTTTGAAATGAAAATCTTTTAGGTGACATGAATTAGATGATTATTGATTAGAAAGGTTAAGATCGATGGCTTGTACACAATACAGATTGAAATCCCTTATCTTCATTTGCAATTTGTATCGTCCTTGTGGCTCATAAATTCAAATCCTCTATTGTTATTTTGAGTTGCATAAAATAAAACTAATGTACTCCGTACTATATTCGTCATTGAAACAGTATGCTTTTAGTCTTTCACACTAAGTTATGTTCTATCTAGTCTAAACTTGCATAAGGCTTCATTAAAAAAAAAAAGAATATATGTAAAAGCTACTACGTAAAAAGTAAGGAGTGTTGATCAAGGTCATGATTATGGAAACAAATAAAGAGGGATTTGTTTAAGAGATAGTACATGTTACATAGTAGTCCGTATTACTTACTAGTGAAAAACAAGATAGTAAAAGGACAATATTTCAGGCCAGACCAATTTTTGGTAGGTTTATTGCACAATAAGTGGTAAATTAGTGATGGTTATCATTACATATGTATCCATTTTTTTTTAGTTGATTTAATATATACATGTACCCTTTTTTTTTTTTTTTTTTTTTTTTTGTAATTTATGAAGTGGACAAATTCCATAGATAATGTATTGGGTAAGTGGTTAAAAGAGTTTTCCTAAAACACTATCCCTCTCCCCGCCAAACACTCAAACAGAGCAAATGAAGTAACATGTTGCTGCAAACTGTTAGTATTACTACCAAGAATTGAAGAGCACTGATGACGGTCGTCGGACACCCCATCACCACCGCTCTCACTCGTGGCTCATTGCCGGAACTAACTTCTACTCAAGTTACAAGATGGAAATTCCTGGCTACCAATTACTATATCATGGGGTGAGTGTTTAGTTGTCAGCTTGTCACCTTATAAAAGTTCAAATTGTACTATCAACGTGACCATCAAACAATATGTGGTACTATCTAGAAGTTAATGTAGACTAGATAATGTAGTATATAGTAATTTAGTATCTACCAAAAAATCATTAGAATGCATATGAAAGATGAATTTTTTTTTTTTTAAGTTGGGTAGTATTTGCACACGATTATACTCCATATGAGTTTAACTAGATAAGAATAGTGTGGACAAGTTTAATCATATACTTGATTACCATTCAAGATTTCAAGTTGGCCTAAACTTTTGTAGAGTCTAGTGATCTTTGATTTTTAGTATGAGATAGTATAGAATCGTTAACTTGTAATTAATTTTTCGAAACAATGCTTAGGGGAAGTTTAATGCCATTGTGCAGTATATATCTGGATCTAAGAAGGTATAAAAACCGTAGTACTTGTAAAGTAAAGTGCTCCAATGTTGAGGTTCCTGAGAAGTTGAAGCATGATGACACATATGTTGACAGACGAGGCAAGTTCAGAAGGTTCAATCGAAAAAAGTTATCTAGGAAACGATGTATGTACAAGTAAATCATACCGGTGATCTGAGTACTAACACCCATTTTCTAACTATATGTGCTGAACTCTATCTTAAGTTTGGTAATCTGTTATTCAAAATCAGGTGGAGGTTTAAGAGGACGTGGATGGAAATTTGGTTCTGGATTTATTGATGGAGTTTTTCCAGTGCTTAGCCCAATTGCTCTGAAAATTTTGGAGCTTGTAGAGCAGAATGAAGATATTGATAGAATTTGGACCGTTCTTGACACCCTTCCTCGAACACATACCACTTGGGATGATATTGTCAATGTAGCTGTCCAACTACGCTTGAACAAAAAATGGGATGAAATTGTGGTGGTGAGAAAACTTGTAAATCCATCGGTCTTTTTGTGTAGTGTCCTGTTACAAATAGCATGTAAAACAAGAGTAAAGAGTTTTACATGTTATTTGACATGGTATCAAAGCTAAGAAGATCCTTCTTTAGCCCTTGAATAGCTTTTTCTTTTACATGTTATTTTTTAGGATTAGTTTGACACTTAGGCATTTTTGCAGCTGTGTCAATGGATATTGCATCGGAGCTCCTTCAAACCGGACATTTTGTGTTACAATTTGATGATTGATGCTTTTGGACAGAAATCACAATATAAGAAGGCAGAAGCTATGTATTTAGAACTTCTAGAGGCTCGATGCATTCCAACTGAAGATACTTATGCACTAATGCTGAGGACTTACTGTGCTTCTAGGTTGTATGCTAAAGCTGAAGCTATCTTCTCTGAGATGCGAAAATATGGCCTTTCCTCGAGTATGTTCTTCCTCCATCTATATACTGCCTGTTTTTTAACTGTATGCTGACAGAGCATGTAATGGATGATTGATACTATATCCACTCTTAATGGTATAAATTTGCCAAAAAAACTCATGTTTTACGCTATGTAGCATAGAAGAAAGTAACCTCTTACTGTCCTTCATCCATCCTTAAAGAACAAGGCACAGTTTACACTAGCTAGTTAGGTTTCTAAGTAAAACTTGGGAAAACATGCTTACACAAAATTTACTTTTTTCTTACTTGCTATAATGAAGTTCTTGATTGGATTTCTTAGGTGCCGTTGTGTACAATGCTTACATTGAAGGATTGATAAAAGGAGGAAACAACACAAAAGCGATTGAGATATATGAGAGGATGAAGCAGGAACGATGTGAGCCAAATACTGAAACTTACACTATGCTAATCAATTTATATGGAAAGGTTAGTCAGTACTCATAGTAACTGTCTTTTGTATTAGCCATCAGCATGCAGCCACGTATGGTCACCTAGATTGTTTTGTCATCATTACATCTAAAATTGAATTCTCTGCTTCGCTTGGAATGATCAGTATTATTAATTCATACTATAAGCCAATTTTGTGCAGTGTTTCTGCAATCAGTTACAGCAAGTCTGAAACACCCATTCTGTTTCTTGGCATTGTTATTCAATCAAATGTGTAGGTCGGACATAATCTGATCAGATCGAATTACAAATAAATGGCCATATGTTTGCAGGCAAATAAATCTTATATGTCCCTTAAGGTGTTCAATGAGATGAGAACTCGTAAAGGCAAGCCAAATATCTGCACTTACACTGCACTAATCAATGCATTTGCAAGGGACGGACAATGTGAGAAAGCGGAAGAAATATTTGAGTTGCTACAAGAGGCTGGCCTTGAGCCTGATGTTTATGCTTACAATGCACTGATGGAAGCTTACAAGTTAGTATCTAATTATATGCTTTCATGGTTCCTGATAAACTTTTTGGATTGTTTGTTACATTATGTATGGTGGCCTTTTGTTATGTCTTTAATTTGATGATACTAATAGAATTTAACTAATTTAGCTCCTTTGTTTTCGATTTCTCATAGTCGTGCAAGGTATCCTTATGGCGCTGCAGAGATATTTTCATTGATGCAACACATGGGTTGTGAGCCAGATAGAGCCTCATATAACATCATGGTAGATGCCTATGGTAGAGCTGGTCTAGTTGAAGGTAACATAATTTGCCATCATACTACTTCTAAGAGCTCGAGTCAGACATGGTTGCATACATATAAACATTAGATCTAATAATAAATTGCGAAGTGTTTGTTTATGCTTGAGGGATAATATCTAAAACATCTAAATTGTTAACATACTAAATTTAGAAAGTGACCAATTATTTGAGATAAAATGACCTAAATTAGAATTTTGGCCAATTACTAGGAAGGGAGTACTTTGGTGTTAAATTTATACAAGGATAAAAATCTCCTGTCTCATATTATGCTTTCAGATGCGGAAGGTGTGTTCGTGCAGCTACAACAGCTAGGCATGACTCCAACCATGAAATCCTACATGTTATTACTCTGTGCCTACGCGAAAGCAGGGAACATTGCCAAGAGTGAAGAATTTGTAAATGAGATGATGAAGTCAGGTATCAAGCCAGACATTTATGTCATGAATAGCATGATGAATTTGTATGGTAGGTTCGGCCAATTTGAGAAGATGGAACAAGTTTTAAGCGCAATGGAGGACGAACCCAATGTAGCTGCTGATATAAGTACTTACAATATACTAATTAACCTATATGGTCGAGCTGGATACTTTGAGAAAATGGAGCAGTTGTTCCATTCACTCGGTGATAAAAATTTGAAACCTGATGTTGTGACATGGACATCGCGCCTAGGAGCTTACTCGAGGAAGAAGCAGTACAAGATGTGCTTAGAGATATTTGAGCAAATGATCGATGCTGGATGCTTTCCTGATGGAGGTACTGCAAAAGTTCTTCTTTCATCTTGTTCAAGTGAAGAACAGGTAGAGCAAGTTACTACAATTCTTAGAACAATGCACAAGGATGTCAAGCCAATACTCAATATTGAAAACAAGTGAGTACTAGTTGAACTTAACATTGCACATGTATATAAATTAATAGTGCTTTGTTTAGAAAATAAAATAAAATTGAGTTTGAATTTGAGTCAAATATAGGAAAATCATGATCAAAGTTGGATTACAAGTATAACTTACGTACAAGACAAGTTTTGCAGCATTCAATTCGAATCCCGCCTGTTTCTTCACTCAACAAGTCACCTCCTTTCCATCAAAGTAAACCAACTGACTTTGTTATTCTATCATTAGCGCAAAGCTCACAAATATAGAAACAAGTAGTTCAAATGAATTATACTTTCTGAAACACAAACCAAAGCTAAATATGCTGATTCTCAGTTTTTTTTTTATACTTTCAAATTATACTGTAGTTCTCATTTAAGTCATAACAGAGCTCGAAAGAACTACATGTGCAACTTAAAAATGACCATTTGCCATTATAAGTTAAAGTCATAAAGATACATTATGCACATGATTTTAGACAGGATAAGAAGCATCAAACCTTAGGACAATGCACAGCACAACAGCTTTTGACTTTATGCCACAGATTACCTTCAGCACAGCAGCCATATTGATGAGGTACTACCATAATTTGTTTGTCAAAAATACAAATCAGATAGATTCATAGATACAGCACTTAGAAAAAAACACTCTAATATCCAAAGTCCAAAATCTATGCATACATTTTAACTGAAATTCAGCTGATAAACTTCTGTAGCAGGTCCTTGTTTGAGTCACTTGAGTTATCAGAAGACAAGAGGCCAACAAACAATGAGAAAGTGTCTGCATCAGCTTCAAATCCGTTTGCAACCAAAAGATCACGATAGTATAATGCATTTGATAAGTCATTATTGAGTATATATCCTCTAATAATTGTATTATAAGTTCGATAATCAGGGCGGCAACCATCTTCCTCCATTATCCTCAACACTTGAGCAACTTCACTCATGAGACCTTTCTTGCAGAAGCCTTTGATCAGTATACTGTATGTTTTAACATTAGGTTGCAGACCCTTTGATACGAGATCGGAGAAGAAATTTGCTGCATCTTCAAGTAGTCCAGCCTCACACGAGTTGTCTATTAGAATATTGTAGATGACAATATCTGGCTTAACACCATTATCCTCCATTTCTTCTAGTAATTTCACTGCCACGTCAAGCCGATCACTTTTGCAAAGGCTGTCAAGCAAGGAGGCATAGGTCACAACATCTGGAGCAATTCCATGAGCCCGCATTTCTTTGAACAACTTATGTGCCATTGGGAGTCTATTGGCTTTGCAGAGTCCATCGATAAGAGTGTTATAGGTAACAAGATCAGGGGTTATTCCTTTCCGAAACATCTCTTGGAAAATGTTTAGGGCCATGTCAATGTTTTTAGCCTTGCAATATCCATTAATCATAGTATTGAAACTTACCAGGTTAGGCTCACAACCATTTTTTGTCATGAGATCAAGTAGGTTCTCTGCATCTTCCATCTGACCGCGCAAACAATAACCATCAAGTAATGCATTATAAGTAAGGATGTTTGGAGGCACACCTCTCTTAGTCATGTGGTGTAGAATGGACTGTGCTTGATCAGCACACCCATCTTTACAAAACATGTCAACCAGCATGCTGTAGGTCTGAAGATTAGGTGCTATGTTGCTCTGTAACATCTCAGTCAACACATGCTGAGCCTCATCCCCACAGCCGGAATTGTAGAGGCCTCGAACCAAGGAAGTATAAGTGACAACATTGGGTTTAATGCCCTCAGATTTCATGGAGGAGAACAGGTCTAGGGCCTCTTGTAACAACCTGTCCTTACAAAGACTATCGATGATAGTGTTATATAAAACAATGTCAGGCTTAAAATGAGATCCAGATTGCATTTTCTTAAGAAAAGCGAGAGCAGACGCATTGTCGCCAATCCTACAAAGGCCTTTGACAATAGTATTATACATAATTAAGCTTGATAATTTTATTCAACAAAGAAGCAGCTTGGGGTAGCTTATCACAGTGAACATAGCCGTTAATTAAGGTATTAAAGATGACAGAATCAAGGGAATAACCAAGCTTAAGTCTTTTAGCAAGGAGAGAGAAGCCAAAATCAACTCTGCCCAAATGACAGTAGCAATTGGCAAGAATACCAACAGAATGCATATTGGGTTTAATACCATACAACTCAAGCTGCCTGAAGAGAGAGATAATGGTGGAATGTGGATTTAAGCGCTTCAATTTGACAATAGCAGTAAAAAGCTGATTAAAATAGATAACAGACGGAAGAGGGCGCAAATTAATCATTTGATTGTATAGAAAAAGGGGGGATTTAAGATCAGAAAACCCTAATTCGGATTGTTCTGTAACTGAACTTAGAAACAATTGACGATCTTGTAAAGAAGAGAAAAATCGAAAATGGGAAAGGAAAGAAGGGGAAAGAGACTTACCGCCATTAGAAAAGAAAGCAGAAGCTTTAGAAGAAATCATCATCCAAGAATTTCTCGCAATCTTCAATCTCCTTCTACACTTTGTTGCTTTGACGACGTTTGGTGAGTAGTAGGATTTAGGAATTGCGTTTGGTAAGTGCATTCTTAATTTCTTATCAACATAAAATAAGTTTATTTCTCCCATCCTCACATTGACAAAAATTTGTTTAACACATGCCATTTTGTATCGAATAAAACTTTTATACTACCTTTGTTAACGGTTATCTGCAACATATACTATAAATGGGTGCTAACTATTATTTGCAACAAAGTGTTTTCTTTCCTTTATTAAGTAACTTTTTTGGTGACAAAATTACCATACTGCCCTGGTTAAAAACTGATTATATTATAACCTACTTTGTTATTCTAATTAAATATCCCTCTTATCCACAAATCTAATGCAGTGATTCCCACCAAAAATAAATATCTACAATCCCCTTTCCTTCTATTCATCAAATCCACATTCATCTTCTCACCAACCCTCTTCAATGCATCCTTCAATTACCTCCATTAATGAGGTTGTTGAAGCCTTTACCTCTAGAGATCGTTCCAGATTTCAACACTCTCTCTCTTCTCCTCTTTCAATCTTGTTTACCTCACTCTCTCTCTCTTCTCCTCTTTCGATCTAGTTTACCTCACTCTCTCTCCTCCTTATTGAAACCCTAATTTCTCTAGATCTTACACCTTCTCTGGCTGCGGATCTACTTTCTTCTTTGAAAAACCACAAAAAATGAGTTCCCCAAACGAGAAGAAACCAGATCTGGACGTTATTGCGACCTACAAATGCAAGCGTCGTACTAGGAAAATGAGGTTGATCAGAACCCGTACGACAACATGCCTGGATATGCGCCGTATGTATGGTGTGGGTGCGAAGCTTACTCCTTGCGACTCTGATGAGGAAGGTGAGGGGTCTAAGGTGGCAGATCTGGGCAACAACGGTGAGGGTCCGAAGAAAAAGGGTCCTTCTGTTGATGTTGTAAAGAGCGAGGATGCTGAACCCCCTTCTGCAACTCCTACGCCGGAAAAGACTGTAGAGGAGGCGGTTGAAATAAACCCAAAGGTTGCGATCTATCGGAGTTGTCTCTGGCAAGAAAAGGGGTGGATCTGGGTCCCCTGTCGACGAGGCTGTTGATGTTGGTGGGGATTACAACCCTTCCAACTGTTGCTCTAACTAATTCCGCAGCGTAACTCTTTTCCGACCATTAAATTTTTAGATTAATTGCGTTCAATTACTTTATCGTCCCTGGTTTGGTTGTTGGTTGTGATAATTAGCCTCTGTTTGCTATGATGGGCCTTATTGGTAGTAATTGTTGCCTATTGTTGGTAATTTGTGGCTTATGATTACTAAATTGTGGGTTGTTGTTGATAAATGTGGGCATTGCTGTTAAATTCTGGCGATTCTTGATAATTTCCTAGTTACTGTTGAGAATTTGTTGGCTATTTGTGATAATTTCTGTCAGATATTGATAAATTCTTATTGTTGGGCATTTGCTGGCTTGTGTTTGGGAATTTGGTTGCTATATTTGTTGGCTACTGTTGGCAATTTGTTGGCTATTTCTGGTTTGTGATATTTATGGCTTGAGGTTGTTCACATGTGGGTTTGTGGTTGTTCATATGTGGGTTCTACTTCTTTTGTGGGTTATGCTTGTTCCTTTGTAGCTTGAGGTAGTTCATTATTGGCACTAATGGCTTTGGGGTTTGTGATATGATGATTGATGATGAACTTGTAGCCTATTGTGAATGGTGTTAGATGCTCTCAGTGAAATCTAATCAAGAGAACATATGTGCCTGCAGTTCAGTCCCTTACTGTTGGAGTCCCTTCTGTTTTGTTCTCAATGTCTATGCTAACAGAGAACAACATTGTTGCCTACATGTGTGTCCCTTCATGAGTCCCATCATGAGATGTGTGTTCCTACCTGATCTAGGAGTCCCTTAATGTAGTGTCTGTGTGTGTGAAAAATCCAAGTGATGAAGGGACTCATTTGACAAAAAAATTTGATAAGTTGGAATTGCTCCAACAACTTCAACTGTAAGTTGTTGTTGAGGGAACCACTTATGCAATTTATGTGATAAAGCAACACCCTCTAATGGATTTAAACTAGTGTGTGTCTGTGTATCACAGTGAAAAACATAATGTAATCACTTCTTGTACATAAAGTAACCAAAATTGATATCATTAAGTTTTTCAAAAGGTTCTACATGTTCAAAAGAAGCTAGTTAAGACTGCCTTACAATATATTCCCTGAAATTTAACAAAATACACATAACCAATAAATTTCAAACAATAGTGAAACTAAAAACACAAAAGACCACCTACTATTTTACCATTTGCTTCCATGCTCTTCATTGGTTATGTGTGGCACTCTCACTGTCACCTTCCTCATGTGTCTGAGATGTGTTCACTCTGCATCAACTTGCATGCCTTCATCATCTTCATTGTCTTCACCTGTTGATATGAATAAAGTGTTGAGATAATCAACAACTTGTTAAACCACATTCCTCTCCACCTCTAGTTGTTCTGGCAGCAAGCCAAGTCTTTCCAGCTTTTTCTTCCCTTTGTGTGGTGGGGTAAAATTATTCCCCCCTAGATGCTTGAGTATTTCTTCCATGCAACATTGTAGTGTTATCCAACAGTGCTTGTTCAATACTGGATCAAACAAGTCATAAGCCTATTTAACCTTGTCTATGAGTTCCCCCAAGTTCTTAGGGAATGGCTGGTACTGTATGGACTGTATAACATTGAACAAGCCAAGATCTAGCACATGCATTTAAGTCAGGTGACTGTGTTAGCTGGTAAATGAACTGAATGTTGAACCCATGTGACTGACATGCATCAATGAATTCCTCATCCTTAGGAATTTGATGAGGTCTGGCATTATCCCACTGAATCCAAATGTCCTTAGACAGATGGGGTGGCCATTTACTTTTTATTGTTGGAATTACATTGTTGAGAAGCATTGTCCTGATTGCTTCCTTGTTTACATTCTGTGTTGCCTTAATTTCCACAGCTCCAACCTCTCTGTTTTTGCTTTTTTCCTTTGCAGTGCTCTCATAAACAAATGGAAAGATTCCATACTTTCCATCATGTAGCACATGTCCATGGGTGAAAATTGGCTTGCCAATCACTGCCATGAACATGCCTTTTACCTTGAATCTTTTGGACTGTTGGCACCTGTATGGGTTTGGTTCATTTGGCAGCAGATAGAAACTCCTTATTTCTAGCTTCAAGTAAAACCATTTTTCATCTATGTGTATGACTTGCTACATATCCTCAAACTTTGGGTTAGCATTCTCTGTAGCAGGCAACAGATGACTTAAAACCCATTTTAGTCTTGCTATCTTGTGGTTGGATGTCAGGGCTGGGTGATTTGTGCTTGTATGTGTTCTTAGCCTCCCTTTTTTCTTTAACTTGTGAATGGTGACATGTGAGATTTTGAGAGCAGCTCCATAGCTTCTCTTAGTTGTCCTTTTGTACAAAGGGACTGACTGCAGAAACTCATCTGTGTACTCTGTTGGTTTGGGTCCAGTTTTGCCAAGCTTCTTGCTTCTGACATCTATCACATTCCCCACTGCCATTTGTCTCTTTATGTCTTTGAATAATCTCTGTATTGTTGATCTATGAACATTGAACTTCATTGCTTGCTGTGATAAAAATCCACGTGGCAATTCCTCACCATCCAGCTTCAATAGAATTGCATCAACAATTTCTCTTTTAGCTATAACATTAAGTTGTTTCCTGCCTTTGGGTTGTTGCATTGCTTCTTCATGTGTCACATTTTGATCAATGTTGTGAGTTTCTTCAATGGTGCTTGAATCACTGTCTTCCATATTACCTTCATCATTCAGCATTTGATCAATGCTGAAAAAATCCTCATCAAAAAATTCTGCCATGTTTGATAATCTCTACAATGTTGATTTCCACAGATTTGAGGACTAGTAATGAAGTGGGAGTGGCTATTTTTTTTTTTTTGAAGTACTGAAGTTGAACCAGAAACACCTTAGAAGATTAAAGATGCTGCTTCTAACCTTGCACTAATTAGTTTTAGAAAGGTAGCTTAGTTCTGACTTTTGTGAAGAAAACATGGTGTAATTTGGTTAGGGTAGAACTTTTGGTTTGTATGAGAACTTTGAATGTTTCTTCTAGCTGCTTGTTTAAATACCCTCCCTTGAATGAAAAATTCAAGTGGAGGGAAACATTTGGTGTGAAAAATTGAAATTTTTCAAAAGAGAGTGAAAGTTTAGGAGGGAAAGTTTAAACCCCCAAAATTTCAGTTTCTCTCTCCTCTTTATATGCAAACCGGCTCCCCCCTTTCCCTCCTTTTTAGTCAATTAATCACATGCCCTTGTTTCCACTCTCACCTAAACACACATTCAAAGTTTTGCCTTGGCCTCCCGAAAAGTACATT